ACTCTTTCCAGGCCCCACGAGCTTTGTACATGCTTTCCATCTTCCTGAAATTCCTCCTCCCCTGTCTGGCTCCTGCTTTCCCTGGGGAACACCTCCTCAGGAAAGCCTTCTGACCACCCTGGTTGGCCAGGTGGCATCTGGGTTCTTCCTTAACCCCCGCCATCACTGAATTCTGATGGTTACTGTGCTTATCTGTCTCCCTGGACTCCTCACGTTCAGAGCTGTGTCCATTACGTCCTCAGGGCCTAGCAGAGAATCAGTAAATATCTGTTGAGGGAACTATTAGGGACCTTTAATTCCCAGAAATGCCTGTAGACACTGACAGTTCCCTCCCCAGTGGATGCTCTGCTGCCCTCCCTTGTGGGGTTACAGCCATGGGGCCTTGTGAGCACATCGACTGACAGCAGCCAATTCTGACCAGTAGGGCAGGGTGCGCGGTGGCCTTCCCCTCCCCAAGAGTGAGTCCAGGCAGTGCACTCTTTCTGGTTATATGCAAACAGAATCATCTGGGTTGCATTAGCTGGCTGCCCTGTAAACAGCCCTTAACAAAACTGAGGGCTGGAAAAAGTAGGAGGTAAGTGGAGGGGACCTTTCCCACCCTGTGCAAGAAGACAAAGCAGGAAAAGGCTGGATGGGATCAGAGTGGAAATGGCTCCCTAGGGAGGTCTGCTCTTTCCAGGCCAGGGGTGGAGGTGAGGGGGCAGGGGGAGGTTCCGGGGCCAGGAGGCACCTCCCAAACAGGCAGCGCAGGAGTGAGGGCTGGTTCTTTGTTTGAGGACCTAAGAGGCCCTTTCTGATGGAGCGCAAGGTGCGGCGGGGACTGTCTGTGCCATCCCCCCCCAAAACAAAGCCAGCTGCTCCAGTGGTGGCTCCGACTCCACGGGAGGACGACAGTGACTGTGTCCTGAGCATTTGTGTTTGTGTGTCTGTGCTCCAAGCAGCTGGCCCCCCACGAGGCCCAGGAGCAGCGGGAGCTGAAGGCTTGCCTGCGCTGGCGTCGCCTCCAGGACGAGGTGCGGAACTCCCCGGAGGATATGCAGGTGTTGAGGTAAAGCACTACGTGATCCCGTTACCTTCCGGTCCTCCCCATCACGCTCCTCCTTTCCTGCAAGGCACGTCCAGGCCATCTCTTAAATCTGCTGTGTTTCCTTTTTAAATTAACTTGGGCTAGATTACTCATCTTCCCAGGGATGTGATTGTTATGTTTTAAGTCTTTCAGGGTGTGGGTTTGGATTTGCCTCCTGACATTTTCCTGGTGTCTCTGTTCAGGAAAAAACTAGCACAAGGCCATTTCCGGGACCAAATTCTTCATTTGAAGTTCTAATAGTTACTTTATGTGGTGGCTGTGGACTTGGAGAAGGTTAGGGTCTGGTAGCCTGGCAGACAGTAACTCTTTAAAGCCAAAAGGAAAAAAAAAAAAAAACCTTTAAGAAAATATTGATTCCTAAGTGTTTAGTAGTAACAGATGTTTGTGTCAATGGGGCCTTTTGTTCCGGATGTGTCCCGGCAGGAGGCCACTCCTGTGCTGGTGGGAGGATTCTACTCTCAGCTCCTGTGTTGTATTTTCAGAGCGTTTTCTTGCAGCACTGGTAGGATTACTTCTTGCCATTTTCCCATTTTTTTTTGTCCCTCTCTGTTTGCTTGTTTTTTTTCTCCACTTCTGTAAATAGTTGTTTATCTGAAACCTTGAGCCTCGGCCCCAGGAGCACTGATTGCCATGGCAACAGATGCTTTCATCCTGTCCCCTCTTGACTGGAGCCAAGCCTTTGGAATCTGCTGTCAGACAGGTGGGAAGGCAGCCATCCGGGAATCACCCCTCATTTTAGATGGCAGCTCTGAAGGCCAGTCTACCGCCTGGGTAGAAGCCTGCCTGGACCCGTCCTGTTGTTGTTTGTTTTTAAATAAACACCCCTCTCCGCAGGACTGCCCACTGAGGCCAAAGTCTGAGGGGAA